GTTCTTCCCTTTCATCACTTTAAATATGTCATGCCACTCCATTCTGGTTTGTAGAGTTTCTGCTGAGAAATCAGCTGTTAACCTTATGGGAGTTCCCTTGTATGTTATTTGTATTTTTTCCCTTGCTGCTTTCAATAAATTTCTTTGTCTTTAATTTTTGCCAATTTGATTACTATATGTCTCTGTGTGTTTCTCCTTGGTTTTATCCTGTATGGGACTCTCTGCACTTCCTGGACTTGGGTGGCCATTTCCTTTCCCATGTTAGGGAAATTTTCAACTATAATCTCTTCAAATATTTTCTCGGGTCCTTTCTCTCTCTCTTCTCCTTCTGGGACCCCTATAATGTGAATGTTGTTGCATTTAATGTTGTCCCAGAGGTCTCTTAGGCTGTCTTCATTTCTTTTCATTCTTTTTTCTTCATTCTGTTCCACAGCAGTGAATTCCACCATTCTGTCTTCCAGGGCACTTATCCGTTCTTCTGCGTCAATTATTCTGCACTTGATTCCTTCTAGTGTATTTTTCATTTCAGTTATTGTATTGTTCATCTCTGTTTGTTTGTTCTTTAATTATTCTAGGTCTTTTTTAAACATTTCTTGCATCTTCTCGATCTTTGCCTCTATTCTTTTTCTGAGGTTCTGGATGATCTTCACTATCATTATTCTGAATTCTTTTTCTGGAAGGTTGCCTATCTCCACTTCATTTAGTTGTTTTTCTGCGGTTTTATCTTGTTCCTTCATCTGGTACATAGCCCTCTGCCTTTTCATCTTGTCTATATTTCTGTGAATGTGGTTTTTGTTCCACAGCCTGCAGGATTGTAGTTCTTCTTGCTTCTGCTATCTGCCCTCTCAATATTGCCTTTTGTGAGAAAAACTATGGGCAAGAATCTGGGATTTGGAATCAGATAACCCTGAGCTTCAAATCCTGGCCCAACATCTTGCTGGCTAGGTGTCCATAAGCAAAATCATGAGCAAGAATGAGTTAAAATTATTTTCCTTTTAATTAAAAAGAGATCACTAACATCATGGGGATATTCAATTTCTTCCAAAGGCAACATGAGACAATCAATAGCAATTCTTGATATAGATGCTGCACAAAGTTGAAATCAAAGACAGCTTTAACACAGAGTCAGACAAAGGTAACGGGGCTCAGTCTAGAAAAACCTCCTGTTTGTTTGGAAATGGTCCCAGAAACACCTAGGATTAGACACCCAGCCATATCCTTGCACAATGGATTTGAGTAAGGCATGCATGAGGGAGTAAGTGAATTCCCAGGGTCATGCTTATCTCTTATACCAAGCCTCAGTCATTTTATTTTTCAGTGTAAGTCCTAACAGAGAGATAGTAACAATGGTAGAAACAAAATATCTAATGCTACTTTTCATTTAACCAATATCATCATTACTAATTAATAATTATCCTTGTTCTTGGGTTTGTTTAGCCAAATAAATTATCCCCATTTAACCCTACTTGATAGAATTTTACTGTTTAATAGAGCTGATATAGACAAGGACTGATAACAACAAAGTGAATAATAGATAAACTAGATAAATACAAAAAACAAAGTAAATGCTAGTAAATATCAGATAAACACAGGATAGGTAAAAGCCAATCAATAATGAAGAGTGATGTCAGACAATGAAAAGAAAACTGAATCCAAAGACAAAGATTTAAGAGTTCTTATCTCAGCTATCCCTCTAATGATCTATGTGACCCTGGGTAAGTCATGCTCTCTGGACCTCAGGACCTTAAGCCTGCTCTACTTTCTAATATGGGGAAGTGCTCATGTTACATACTTTGTGACACTCACTGGCGGGCTCTTTGCCTTCACTTAACTCTACTTTGCCTTTTAAAACCATTTTAATGTCAACTAACCCCAGATTCATATGTAAGTGGAGAAGACTTCCCTTTTTCCTTATTTCCTCAACAAGAGCCAGACTATTCTAACCTTTGGGTAATTCCTTGATTTTAAGGCTTTGATTGCTCTTAAATTACAGAGCTCCCTGGGAATGGATAAATTTAAAAATTATTAGACATTCACATTTCAGTAAAATTGCGAAAGGAAAAAAGCAGCAAGATTTATCTTATAGTCCCCCTTATGCCCTGTAGGAGAGATTACCAGCTGTCTTCCAGCACCTGTTCTTCCCCAGTACCCATTTTATAACAGAATTTCTGATTTTCAGCTGGGCACAAGTTTACCCAGAATAGGGGCTACATTTCCCAGCCTACCTTGCAAGTAGGTATGATCATAAGATTAAGGTCTAGGCACTGTAATATAAGAGCACTGGTGTATTAAAAGGGATGCTGGAATGCCCTTCTTCATCATATCTTCCTTCCTGCTGGCTAGAATGTGGATATAAGAGATGGAGCTCCAGCAGTCATCTGGTGACCTTGGGAATGAAACTCACAGATGGTGGCCTAATTTCAAGCAAAGATAAAGTGCTCTTCTGACTTTAGGGAGATAATCAGTTCCAGTCCACTTTTGTTTGTTGAGTTGATCCCTGACTAGCTTTTTTTTTTTACTCCCTTCACCCACTTAAATAACCAACTAAGGCAGGAGAAACAGGACAGAACTAAGTTCCCCAAAACCTTTCACAACGTTGTTTTTTTTTTCTCCGCAACTCAATTTTCATGGGTTCTTCCACAAATAAAAGACATACTGGAAAACTGAGGAGGTAAATCATTGTAATAAAATTTTAAGAAGGGATGAACTTCTCAAATAATAGTAAATCTGAGAGGGTTCAACACTTATAATATTTCAACATGTTCTGTGGTATCAGACTCTTTGAATTCTGAGAATTTCAGAAGGTGATGATGATAGTATGAAAATTATAGGAAATTTTTTTGAAGAAAGACAAGCTCTAAGTAGCTGTGCATATTTTTATTATTAAATGCCAATAATTATACACATTTAAGTGTCAGTATTACTTTGTTGGTACTTCTCTTGGAAAAAATTTATAAAGAAGTGTACCTTTACATAGATCTAAAAAAGATCTGCAGAAGGCTTATGTGTAATAATCTATCAAGAAACATATAGATATTGGTTTTTACCTTTTAATTTTATTTGCTATTAGCTAATTTAAATGAAATTGCTTGAAACCTCACATAACCAATGCTCCCCTACGAGGGGAGCATTTTCAAATGTGTTTTCTGAGTAGCTATAAAAACTATTTACCTAGGTGATATCAATTCCATTCTCATTGATTGCAAGATTAGAAGACAGATCTTAGATTTCTTTAAAAAAAAAAAAGGCAAAAACAAAAACACAATCTAAAATTATTGGCACATTTTGAACATGGTAGGTTCCCAATGCATTGTTGTTGCAATATTGAGTCGGTCTGTGAAGTTTTCGAGGTTTGTATTTTTGAAAATTTCTTACACATAAAAAATTTTAAGGCAGTGTTTCTCTGTTTAAGGACAACTTGCATCAGAATTGCTGGAGTGTTTGTTTAAAATGCTAATTCCCAGACACCTCATCACTTCCAGTGAATCAGAATCTCTATGCATGCCTTGAGAATATGAATTTTAACACCCCCAAGAGATTTTCAAGCACATTTAAGTTTAAGAACCTCCGTTCTACTGCTTTGTCTAGTGCAATGGAGTTTCAAGCAGTTTTAAGTTATTACTTCCATGTCTCTGTCAGTATCAAGTTAATTCTTTTCCCATTCTGCCTCCAATTTTTGACCAGACGTGAAAGGCGGGGATGATTACTGGACTGATTAACATTTACTCTTAAGGGGAAAAGGGAGTTTTTAGATCGGTACAGAGAATATGGATAGTCACACATATTTGTGAACTGAGGGGAAAAGATAAGTGTAATAAAAGTACAGTTCCGAGATTTCAAAACTATTTTTGAACTAGTCTGGAGGAACATGATTGTAATGGAAGGCATGACTCTGTGTTAAAGAAAGGACAGGATAACTTAATAGAGGTCTCCTATCTTGTTCTGTGACGGTGCTTCTAGGCTCTGGTGATGGATGTGTTCATTTTCTGTGACTTCCTTTGGGTAAATAACCCGGTGCCCTATCAGCTCTCCAGCCCTGGGCCAGCAGCGGCCGTGTGTGCGCACTAATGACGGTGGAAGGTGTCTAGGGGAGGGCCTGGGGAGGGGCTGCCCTGCACGATCGCGCCCCTGGCACTTCCTAAGAGACTCTCAGCTCTTTCTCTGCAGCTGGTACTTGAAGCCTCCACACTCTCCCTCCAGAGAAAAGAAACCATCTATCTAAATTAGCTGTGCTTCCTCGTCCCTCGTTTCTCCCTCCGCCAGCCGCCACCCCCACCCCTTCCATTGTGTAGTGCATTTAGCTTCCCTTCCTGCGTGAGACCTTAACCTCGTTTGTAGCAGGAGGGATTACTAAGAATTTCGGAACCTTGAGTTGCAATGGAGCTGTATGGAAAGGTAAGCAGAAGGGAGTTCCTCTGCATGCTCTGAGTGAAATCTCGCTTTGATGGACTTTGGTGTGTGTGTGTACGCGCGCGCGTGGGTGCCTTCTCAATGCAATTGTGTGAGTAAACCACTTTCTTTATGTGTGTGCCATTCATTCTCGTTCTCCCCCGCGTTTGGTGAATGAGATTGTAAAACCACCCCACTCTGCCTAAGGAAATGTATAAACTTTCCCGATTCAGGATGGGGAGGTGTAGCGCGGAGAGTTCCAGAATGCAGCGCAGGTTTCGTTTAGATTGGGAATTAGCACAAGGTAGTGCGTTTCCTAACAAGAAAATTCACAATCTAGCTTCGGAAAGCGATAGGTAGCAAAGAAAAATCTCCAGCTGAGATGAGCTGGGGTCACTTTTCGCCTGCACCTTGCGAGGAAATGGTCTGTGAGGCTGAGAGCAGCAACAACCCGGAGTGATTCCAAAAGAGAAGGGAGGCTCGGCGGCCGAGTCCAACAGGAGGAGCAGCCCGTTTTTATGCTGGCTTGCCGGGAAATGTAGTTCACGGCTCACCGGTTTGCCGGAAAGCTCAGCAGGGTTAGACTACAACTCCCAGGAGCACGCGGGGCTCCCAACCAGTACGCGTGTGCGGCGCCAGGAAGGGACAGCTCCGGTGCTGATGTTGGAGCCGGTTAGCGAACCCCAAGAGTGCAGTGTGGAGCGTGAAGCGCGCGGACTGTGCACGCTTGATCGGGCTCCCGGGCCAGCACTGTCTTAGCCAGGGAGAGAGGACACTTTGCGAACAATGAGACACGAAGCTCCCATGCAGGTGGGTCTATATAGAAAGTGTGGCCTCGGGAGGAATTGAGAGAGATGCTTTCTCCCTCGCTCCCAGCATAAACTGCGCCCGATCTAAGGGAAGGTCTTAGGCAGCCACCCGCGGGGATGCGGTTCTGACTTGGTCCATGGAACAGAACTGGGTTCCTCTACGCTCCGCGGGGCTGTAACGAGGGATGTTTTGACGCGGGTAAGAGTATACATTATCTTTCTAGGCTCCACAAGGAGGATTATAGTGTCTAAAACGTAAACTTGAGCAAACAAAAGTCAGAGGAACATGCAATCTCGTATTGGCATTGATTGTCCCTCCTGGCTTGCCTGGTTTGTGATCGCGGTGCAGACACACGGACTTATGGCGAGGTTCGGGGTTGCGAACTCTACTGGAGTCGGGATAGAGCGAATACCGCTTGGTTAAGAGCGCGCTAAGAAAGGAGAAGCCAGTGTTAGGGTCCCCATAGTCCTCTTTCTTCAGTTAGGGTCCTAGTAGTATCAACGGAAAAAGCAAACCCATTGGGGCTTGACTCTTCCCAGAAGTAAGCAAGGCTTTATCGCTGTCCACACAACTGGTTTACTGCTGCGTTTCAAAGACTATCCTCTGAGCTTTCCTGAGTAATGTGCCCATTTGTTGTCCGTTCCGATTCCCTATTTCTGTCACATTCTTATGTTTGCTTCCTTTGACTCCGGTGCAAAGGTGCCTCTGCCTAAGCACCTTGCTTAAGTTTTGTTTTTAAGTAAAGATGAGTGATGCTTTCTCCTTTGTATGTACAATCAGTTAACGCTAAACATCAGCCTGTGTTCATTACCAAGCAGAGTGATCCCATTGCGTAACAGAAAGGCACTTTATGAATGGGATTGAGAGGGGAATGGAACATACGTTTGGAACGTGTTGTCTCTCTTGAGAACCCAACCCTGCTACCAAATCCACCAATATAAATGTTTGACTTTAGTTCGTGCTTAAACATTTTCCACAAAAATCAAGGGCTTTAAACGTATGCTCCAATTTACTTTTTATTTATGGTATGGGTTATGTATATTAAGATATATGCTGACTGGACTGTTCAATGAAAAAAAGATCTGTAGAATTTAATTGTTTGTTGAAGGATTATATAATAGAAGCTCTCGAATTACCTTATGAGTTATTGAAAATTTGATTTGTTCCAGAGAACATTGGCCCCATTGTGAATCTTCTAATACCTCTGTTTGTGACTTAGTTTTTCATTATAGACCTGATGTGAAAAGAATCTGGACAGACAATAAAGGTACAGGCTGTTGCAATCAATATATATTGGTTTATGATAATTTCCCACTACTAGAGGTACTGCCAGGAACCAACTGGCTAAATTAAGCATATCTGATTACAAGTAAACATTGACAGTAGATTTTAAAAGTAGATTGTTAGTATTTAACATCAAACCCATATATGCACTGAGGTGTTTATGTTAAAATAAATTTCTAACAAATAAATCACACTGCATCTTTTTTATTTTCTTATAATAATTGCTTAGAATGTTCAAAAGGGTCATTAAAATGTTACAGAACTGTATGAAATTAGTGCCTTGAGAACTATTTTAAATTATTTCATATCAACTTTGTAGTAGGCACTGTAATTCCATATTTTAGTCAGAACTTTAATGAATAATTAATATAAAAATAGGTAACAAAATTAATTTGCTTTTGGGTGGAGTTGTCATATTTAGGATGTATTTTATTCATTGGACTTGATTTTTGAAATTAAAACTTTCAATGCCCAAATGCTATCAAGAATAACATGTACATTAAAAAAAAAAAGACTATTTTCTGTAGTATATTTCATTTCAGCACATTTATTGATTCAATTTACCAAGTAAATTGTTATGGTGGCCCTCTCTCAATTACTGTCAGGTTTTCAAACATATATAATGATAGAATGAATAAAAACTATAAACATGCTTCATCTATATATATATGTTTTTTAAGTGGCAAGTAATGTCTCAGCACCTGTACTTCTGAATCATAAGCACATAATCACATTCCAGGTGATTTTGACATATGAAAATGCAATGAGATGAATAGTTGACTTTTTATTCTTTTACATTTAAAGACTGAACCACATCATCATTTAAAATACATGCCCCTAAGTTTTCCCTTAGGTTTCTGGAAAATGAGTCACAAGCAAAACCTCATTCTATAGTTTCATTATCCTAAGAGATTCTTTTCCCCATATGAAAATATTTAGTTCATTTATTCAGTGAAACAAAATGTGCTCTTTAATTCTTGATTTCCTAATTTACTTATTTTATTTTCTTAAATCAAAGAATCCTTTAAAAATTAATGTCTTTTAAAAAGTATTTATTGTGCCTATGTACATAGCTTGGTGCTCTGTTCTAGGCAGTTATCTTTGATATATGCAAATTTTCTGAAGAATATTTCTCTCTGAGTTGATGCAAAATGAGGGATAATAATTGTTTTATAGGGATTATTAAAATAATAAACAGTAATAGTCTTTGCTGTCTGTATTTCCTTTGCAACTAAATAACCAGGAATAGCATTTAGTAAGTGTTCCAAATGATGGGTTAGAATTTTAATGCAGGAAATGGTCATTTTGTGTTTTTTCATTCAGTGCATCCATAAATCCTGAGGGCCAAATGAAATGGGGAATAGCAGTGCTCATGACTTGAGGGCAAGACTCTCATGAACAAATTGTCATTTGATTCAGGAGCCAGGTTGAACAAATTCCAGTTTATCTAGTGCTTTGTGCTAAGCACTGTGCCTTGCATTCAGATCTGTGTGTGTGTGTGTGTGTGTGTGTGTGTGTGTGTGTGTAAAATATAAAACAGTCCTAGAGGTCACCATTATCCTAATTATGGGCAGATAACTAGAAACTTTTAAGATTAAACAACTTTCCCAACACGGTAAATTCAAAATTCTGCCAGACTCTAGAAAGCCCTTGTTCTTTCCTCTATTATTTTGGGTTCCTCAAGAAGACACAAAATGGTGGTGTAAAGAATGAGGGCACTATTGATATAATTTGATTCATTCATTTGGTTCAGAAGAAAGAAAACTGTCTCTTCTGTTTATAAAATTATCTTGCATAAACTAAACCAAATATTTGAGAAACGCCAATGTTTTAAAAATGGTTAGCTTTCTGTTTCCTGGGTTTGAATTTCTTGCAGCTTTACTTACTCTCTTGCAGGACCAGTGGAATTCATTGTCTCTGTTTAAATACTTATCTTCAATTTTGTCATCCACAAGCTTTCTGGGTCATCACATAAGTGCAGAGCCCTCTATTTAGGAAACTTGAAGGGAAAACAACTACTCAAAGCATGGAGCAGAGTGTCAAAAAAGGTTATTTGGCTAAAAATGAGGATGATTGAAGAAAGAATATAAGTGTAGGCTGAAAATGAGGTTGAGGTGAAAACCACAATAGATATCAAATACAGCCATGCTATATAACAAAAACAACTTACAAAGAATCAGTCTAAATATCATTGTTTCATTTGGCTATGGAAGGTACATGGCAAACTTGCATTTTATTATTGTGGAATTTCTAACCACATCCAGCCTCTATGATGATCCCTTTATCTTTATAAGAAATGGAAGTTTAGTCCTCATCCCTTACAGAGATAGAGAAAAACTCTAGTTGACATTGGAGAAACAAGAACTTTTTTCTTACTCCATTTGAGCAAATTCCTCAGGTATCCACCTTTCTTCCGTAAAGGAAAGTGGAGGATAGAGAGGGGAATTACAGTAAAAATAAATTTCTGTGGTGTAAGAAGGATTTTCCATTTTCATTTTTTTAGTCCAAGAAGTCGTGATTTTATTACATGGCATAACCACAATTTTCCCCTGCCATTCTAAGCTTATTTTGGAACTGCAGGTTCCTTTCCTGACCATCATATGCCAAGATGGAAATACATTTTTATGCTAAGGATTGAATTTTCCTGGGACTATTCTTACACCAAGGATACTCAACTTACTAAGTATAAACAGTTGTGCCACCTGAAAAAACTGTTGTATTGGTTAAAGGTCGTCCAACAATTTTCCCCATTTTTCATTCGTTAATTGGGTCCAGAGGTTTTAAAGGAACCCTCTTAATAGCTCATAGTTTTTTACCATGCATACTATGACCTGTGAAGATGAAATCTTTTAGATTTATTTGGAATTACATAAATTTTTAACATTTTTCATTTGTTTATTTACAGTTTTTGA